TACTGTGTTGAGTTGGCATTGTACAGAAATGGATAGCCATATTGGTCTACAAATGTTAATTTTTTTTTATTTTTATTTTTTATTTTTTTTCCATGTATACAGGGATAACACATCGTACTAAATAGGTAAGGTTATATCTACATGAGTTTGATTAGAGAAACTAATAAAGTATTCTCTAAATAATGAAAAAAAGAATAAGATAAGACTATAAGAGCAAGAAGCAATTTAAATATGTTCAGGGACCATTTTCATCTCCAGAATTAAGGATTATCTTAATGTTACATCATTGCCTTTTCTCTTTTACTTTCCTTTTTAGTTTTATTTTAGGATTCCCTATTTTTAATGTTCATACAGAGATTTCTTTAACTGAAATACCGAATAGTTTCTTTGGTGTGAAAAACTATAATAGTACACAGGATCCTAATGAGATAATTAATAATGTGAAATAGGAAGTAAAGGGCTAAAGGTGTAGGGAAAGTGGGAAGGGTGGGGGAAAGGTAATAAGGGAGAGGAAAAAAAATATGAGAAACTGAAAAAATGGAAATAAAGTGTTTGTAAATGGGGAGGGGAGGAGGGGGTGAAGGGAGGGCAGGGACAAGGGGAAAAAATGAGAATCAAGACCTATTATGTAAAGGTACAGAATCCCAATGATGAATGTAACTGTATTGTATACCTAGAATGTACCAATAAACTCAATAAAAAGAAAAAAATCAATACCTTCCTGTACATGAATAACAATACCATGGACAGAGAAATTCGGTAAACAAATTATTTCACAATAGCATCAAAGAACATGAAACATCTAGGAATCAATCTAACAAAGGAAATAAAAGACCTTTACATGGAAAAATACAGTACTCTGAAAAAGGAGAATGAAGAGGATATCAAAAAATGGGAATATATGCATTGTTCTTGGATAGGAAAAACCAACATAGTGAAAATGGCCATACTTCCAAAACTGTTATACAGACTTAATGCAATCCTGATCAAAATACTAAAAGTATATCTCACACAACTAGAGAAAACAATCCTAAAATTCACTTGGAACCAGAAGAGACCAAGAATAGAAAAGGCAATTCTGGGCAACAAAGGTAAGGCAGAGCACATCACAATCCCTGATTTAAAATTATACTACAAACTGTGATAAAAACAGCACGGTGCTGGCAAAAAAACAGACCTGAGGATCAGTGGAACAGAACAGAAAATGCAGAAACCACACTAAACACACTTAGCCACCTTATTTTTGACAACAGAACCGAACACCTTCATTGGAAGAAAGATAGCCTTTTTAATAAATGGTGCTGGAGCCAGGCGTGGTGGTGCATGCCTGTAATCCCAGCACTCAGGAGGCTGACACAGGAGAATCACTATGAGTTTGAGACCAGCCTGGGCTACATAGTGAGTTCCAGGTCATTCTCAGCTACATAGTGAGACCCTGCTCAAAAAAAACCACACACACACACTAAAAAAATGGTGCTGGAAAAGTGGGCTTTCCATATGTCAAAGATTGAAACCAGAAGCCGGATGTGGTGGCACACGCCTGTAATCCCAGCACTGAAGAGGCTGAGGCAGGAGGATCGCTGTGAGTTCAAAATCAGCCTGGGCAGCACAGTGAGTTCCAGGTCAGTCTCAACTACTTAGTGAGACCCTGTCTCAAAAAAAAAAAAAAAAAAAACCTTGAAACTAGACCCATAACTTTCATTACGCACTAAATTCAAATCAAAATCAAGAAAGATTTAAATATTAAAACAGAAACACTAAATCTGCTGAAAGATAGAACAGGTAGAACTCTTAAACACATTGGTATAGGCAAAGACTAACCCCAACTGCACAGGAAATATCACAGAATCAAGAACTGGGATCTCATCTTATTAAAAAGCTTTTGCAGGCCAGGGATTCGGCTCAGTGGTTCTGCTGCCTGACTCGCAAGCACAAGGGCCCAAGTTCAATCCTTGGTAACCCCCCCAAAAAACAAAACTAAAAAGCTTTTGCATGGCAAAAGAAGTCACCAAAAGAGTGAAGACAGCCAGGGACTGAGCTCAGTGGTGCTGTACCTGCCTCACAAGCACAAGATCCTAAATTCAATCCCTGGTACCAAAAAAAAAAAAAAGGGAAGAAACAACCCACAGTGTGGGGGGAAAAATTTTACCAGCTGTTCTTCAGACAAAGGATTAATATCTAGAATATATAAAGAACCTAAAAAGATCAGACCACCCCCAAATTTAAAGACCCAATCCAAAAAATGGGCATCTGAAAGGACTAGACCTTCCTCAGATGAAGTAAAAATGGCAAATAAATATATGAAAAAATGTTCAACATCACTGGTCATCTGAGAGATGCAAATTAAAACAATGCTGAGATTCCATCTCACTCCAGAAAGTATGACTATTATCAATAAATCAACCAATAATAAATGCTGGTGGGGCTGTGGGGAAAAAGAAATCCTTCTCCACTGTTGGTGGGAGTGTAGACTGGTGTAACCACTGTGGAAATCAGTGTAAAGATTCCTCAAAAAACTAAAACTAGAGGTTCCATTTGACCCAGCTCTTCCCCTTCTTGGTATCTTGCCGAAAGAATTAAAAGCATCCTACCACAGCAATATATGCACACCCATGTTTATAGCAGCATGGTTTGTAGCTAAATCTTGGAAATAGCCCAAATGCTCATCAACCAATAAATGGATAAAGATTTGGCGTTTTTTTGATACAATGGAGTACTATACGCTGATATAAAGAAAGATGAGCTTGAGACATTTCTAGCTAAAGGATGCACCGAGACCATACTCTTAGTGAAATAAATCAGACACACGTTTCTCTGGTGTGAGAAACCAAAAGTGGAAATAAGGAATAAAATGTATACTAGATATTGGGAAATGGAAAGAAAGTGTTCAAATGAAAAGGGTAACAAGGGACGAGTGAGGCGGGGAAGAAGGAAGGGAGAAGAAAAAAGAGAATAGAAGGATAAAATAGAAACAAAACTTTTGTAAATAAGGAGGGGAAGAGGGGTCAAAGGGAGGGGAAGGGAATGGGAAAATAAAAGCAAGATAATCATGTACAGGTACAAATTCCCTAGGATGAACATTATCATTATGTATATCTAAAATGCACCAATAAATGTTTTGCTTAAAAAAATTAAAACTAAAAACATAAAATACTACATTGAGATATTTACCCATTTTATTAAGAAATTATACTACAGGATTCCTTTAAACTACCATATTCTCTACCCCATGTATTGGATTTAAGAGTTTTATTTACCAGACAGGGATGGAGTTGTGTGTCTGGGTCTGGGGTCCCACCTACTCAGGAGCTAAGGCAGTTGGCTTGCAAATTCAAGGTTGGCCTGCCCTACACAGCAAGATGCTATCTTTTTTTTTTTTGCAAGATGCTATCTTAAAATAAAATTGTTTTAGGGCTAGAGATTTAGCTCATTGCCGGGCATGATGGCGCAGGCCTGTAATCCCAGCACTAGGGAGGCTGAGGCAGGAGGATCGCTGTGAGTTCAAGACCAGCCTGGACTGCATAGTGAGTTCCAGGTCAGTCTCAACTACATAGTGAGACCCTGCCTCAAAAAAAAGAGAGAGAGAGAGAGAGAGAGAGAGAGAGAGAGAGATTTAGCTCATTGGCACCACACCTGCCTTACAAGCCCAAGGTCCTAAATTCAATCCCTGGTACCAGAAAAAAATAAAATAAAATAAATCGTTTTTTAAAGTAGTGGGGTACAACTCAGTGGTTGAATGCTTTTGCAGCATGCACAGAGGCCCTGAGTTCTACCCACAGTACCACAGGGAAGAAACTGATTTAGCAAAATTAATCACTATGCTGGACATGCTGGCACACGCCTGTAGTCCCAGCACTCAGGAGGCTGAGGCAGAAGGATCCATATGACTTTAAGGCCAGAATGGATTACACAGTGATAGTGTCTAAAAAAAATTAATCTTTATGCCATTTACCATGAACATGTCTTCTATGTTAGAGCAAAGTCCTTTAAGAATGGCCACGTGTAGGAAGATTACAGAAACATAACAAGTATCCATTAAGGGGCCCACTTACCTCATATTTTCTGTAGTTTACCAATAAAGCCAACAGGACAACAGTATCATACCCATGCTCTCTACGACTTAGGGGGTGGGAGAGTATCTGTAACAAGAACCAGAAATTCATAACTCCCCAGGGCTAACTCCTGGTTTGTGGGAAAACAGACCAACAAAATTTGAGATGAGCCAGGCATGGTAGTGAATGTCTGTAATCCCAGGCCTCTAGAAGGCTGAGGCAGAGAATCAAAACTTTGAGCCCAAGGGGGTGAAGGGAGGGCAGGGGAATGGGGAAAAAACAAGAACCAAGACACATCATGTAAAGGTACAAGATCCCAATGATGAATCTAATTGTACTGTATACCTAAAAAGTACCAATAAACTTAATGAAAAAAAATACACTAAAAAATTATTGGAAAGTAAAGAGTACAAAAAACTTGTATGTATATCTGTGCAACTATAACTGTGTATTTAATGTTTAACCTGTATTATGTCATTTAGATATTAAATGATTGAATGGAAAAAAAAAAAAGGTTGAGCCTAACCTTGGGTAACTTAGCAACTTAGAGAGAACCTGTCTCAAAATGAAAAAGGATGGGGATGTAGTTCAGTGTAAAGGCCCTGGGTTTTAATTCACCAGTACTACAAAGAAAGGAAGGAAGGAAAGAAAAAAAAGGAAGGGAGGGAGAGAGGGAAAAAGGGAGGGAGAGAGGGAGGGGATATGAAAAGACAGTCTACTCAAAAAACAAAGGTCACAAGAAAGTTGACCCACCTGTAAAATTGCTTCAAATATGCTGTTGATCATTACATACTCCAGGATAGTGTTCTGGCTGATATTGTCTGTCACCTGAATGTAACAGAAGGTTTTTTAAAGTCTCTACTGAGGTATTCTGATATATACCTACTTTAACATCTAAATGAAACACAAATGTCAAAACAGTCCATTTGATACTTACCTCACTGTTCACAAACACCCCCCAAAGCCACCAGAGTCACCACAGACACTATGAGGGCAAGCAATGAGCTAATGAAAACTTCCTACGTCTGTGAACTTCTCCTGTCATATTCTTACAAGCATCTGGTTCACAGCTTTTCAGAGTTCATTCCTCAAATGCACAGAAAAAGGTTTATGAATTCAAAAGTCCTCAAGAGGCAGCAGGAAAGGCAACGATCTGAAGTAAATGAACAACATCCCACCCTTTCCTTCCAGTAGGAAGTACAGGCCAGCCTCCAGGAATAAAATCAAAGTCAGAGTAAATAAACATATTCAGAATAACAAGAACCAGTTCAGGTGAGCTCCAATGAGAAGGAAAAATACGACAATCCCAAAGATGGTAGTTCTCCTGCTGTGGTCTTTCCACTGCGGTCAGCATCCCACAGCGCACAACCTGTGAGCTGGCTCCAAGGTCACTTTCAGGAGGCCAAAGGCCAAGCAACCAACTTCCTTCTGTACTGCAGTCACAGGGGTAATGGGATACACCAGTAAATGGGTTTTTTTTCTCTTTCCCCTTCTAACCTTGGGCTCAAGTATTCTAAAAACCTTGCCTCTGCTATTAGTTAATATTCTGACAAACAGAAATGGGTCACTTACAGTCACTAAGCAAAGAAGAAGTTTCAGACATAAACTCTTCAGACTTTCAGAACCTTCTGCACAAAGCAATGAATCCAAACTCTCCATCAAGTTCTGAGAAAGAGAATAATTAAACATTAAACCATACTGAACAACATCAACACCCCTTCTTGCCGGGCGTGGTGGTGCATGCCTGTAATCCCAGCACTCAGGAGGCAGGAGGATCCCTGTGAGTTCGAGACCAGCCCGGGCTACACAGTGAGTTCCAGGCCAGTCTGAACTACATAGTGAGACCCTGTCTCAAAAAACAACAACAAAAAAAAAAACACCCCTTTTTTGTCCAACTCTGGGTTACGTTACACAAGCTGATGTGAATAACACACAATGAAGCAACCACAGCATTCCTCTCTAGGCCTAAGCCTTTTAAGATTAAGGAGAAAGAAAACCTCAAACTAGGTATTTTGGGGAAAACACTTTGGTACAACTACACAGAACGATAAAGAATTCAGCCAAATGAATACCTGCAGCTTGCCATATATGAGATAGGACCTGATTTTTAGCTCAGTGGCACCATGCCTGCCTAGGAAGTGCAAAGTGCAGAGTTTGATCCCCAGCACTGGAAAAAAATTTTTTTAATTATAGAATGAGATAAATTGAAAAAGGGAAACCTAGTTGGATGTGGCAGCACTCTGGGAGGCTAAGGAAGGAGGGTTTACAAGTTCAAGCCCAACCTGGGCAATTTAGTGATTAATAAGGTTGTCTCAATAAAACACACACACACACAACTGTAGCTCAGTGTGAAGGCCTGGGGTTCAAACCCTTGTACCATACATACACACACACACACACACACACACACACACACACACTCAGAAGAAAAAATGTCAAGGGTAATTTTTGGGGGTTTTTGGCTTGGGGGACTTCAAGAAGACGGGTGCTCCCATTCTGAAGGGAAGCGACTGGGGAAGAAAAGAAGTAGGAGAAACAATGAATTCCATTTTGGACACGTCAAGAGGTGCTTATGTGCTGTGCAAGTGAAAACATAGAAACGCTTACAGAATACACAACTCCGAGGCTCAGGATGAGATGTTAAAGCTAAAGATAGTTAATAGTCATTGGCACATCAGCAGTAGTTAGAACTATGAGAGTAAAGGAACTGTCTGAGATTTTATCATACTGTATAAACGGACTGTAAGAGGCCAGAATTAAAATATGACAATAGGTACTAAATATTTTGGGTATTCATAGTTGTACATTAATAACTTCTTTTGGTAACATAAATACTGTAAGAATGCTTTGATATACTTTTCTTTTCATCAGTTGAGACCAGGTCTTGCATGGTTACTTTTTAGCCCGGCTGGCCCGAAACAAATAATCCTCCAGCCTCAGCCTCCTGAATACCTGGGCATGCAAGTCGGCCACTGGGATTACAGGTTCATGCCATCATGCCCAGCCAGGTTTTCTCTTGGGTACTTGGGATTGAACCTAGGGCCTTCAGATTGGGCTACATCCTCAACCCATTTTTCTTTTTCTTTTTTTTTTGAGATACGGTCTTCCTAAGGTCACCCAGGCTCACCATCCTCCTGCCTCAGCCTCTCAGAGTGATTGGATTACACAATGCCTGGTACCCAGCCAGACTTGTCATTTGTTTGTTTGCTGGTTGGTTGGTTGATTGGCTGGCTGGTTTTCTGAGACAGTGTCTCACTATGTAGTCCAGGCTAGCCTCAAACTCGCAGTGAGCCTCCTGACTGTCTCCTGAGTGCTGGGGCTGATTATAGGCATGTACGACCACACCTGGCTGATTTAAGTTAAATTTAGTGATAGGAGACTAGTTTAGTTCTTCAAAGTTCCTATGAGAATAAAATTCATTTAAGATAGTATCAAACACTGTAAACCACATCTGATAAGGGACTTATATCCAGAATATGTACAGAACTCTCACAACTCAACAGTAAGACAAACCAATCTAGAAATGGGCAAAGAATTTTAACAGACATTTCTCAAAAATTAAAAGGGGTAGGGGGTGGAGATTTAGCCCCATGGCACCACACCTGCCCCTCAAGCATAAGGTCCTGAGTTCAGTCTCCAGTACCAGAAAAAAAAAAAAGTATGGGAAAGACAGACAAAAATAAGTGTTAATGTGGTTTAGAAAACTTGGGACCATTATATATTACTGGTGAAATTATAAAAGGGAGTAAAAATGACATGACAGCTCCTCAAATATTAAATACATTTGTTTCAGTGTCTAGTGTGCTCATTGGTGGGGTTTGGAGATGTGACTGGGGCATGACACTCATCAGGGGGTCCCCTAATGACCACAGCTAAATTCGTAAGCCTGGTTTAGGAGGGCCACTGGCGGCGTAGCCCGGGAGGGTCTCCCTCCATCCTCCCTTGAATACTTTCTGCTTCTTGCCACTACTCCAGGAGCTGTTTCTCCCCTCTGCAATGCCTCCCTGCCTTGGGGCCAGTGGCTAAGGACTGAAATCTCTACAAACTGTGAGCCGAAATAAACAAAGGTATTGTATCTCAATGATGAGAAAGTAACTAAAACAACAGAGTTAATATATGACACAATGAGTTTACCCTTGCATGTAGACCAAGAGGACCAAAACCCCAGCCATTCAACACTTCACACACTCATGTTCAGAGAATCATTATTAAGACTCAAAATGTTGAAACAACCTAACACGTCGACCAAACAAGGAATGGATAAACAAAATGTGGTATAGCCATCCAATGGAACTTTACTTGGCAGTAAAAAGGAAATACTAATACAGTACATCACATAACATGGACAAACTCTGAAAGCATGTTAAGTAAACCCCAGAAACAAAAAAATCATATATATGATTCCACTTATACGAGGCACTCAGAATAGCTAAGTTCCTATAGACACAAAGCAAATTAGTACTTTCCAGGGTAGAGAAGAGATAATAGGAATAACTGCTAATTGGTACAGGTTTTATTTCAAAGGCAATGAAAATAGGTTCTGAAATTAGTAGTAGTGATGGCTGTTCACGTCTGAGAATATATTAAAAAGTACTAGAAAGTCAGGCATGATAGCCCTTGCCTATAATTGCAATACTCAGGATGCTGAGGCAGGAGGATCAAGAGTTCAAGGACAGGCTAGGATATATTGCAAGTTCAAGACCAGCCAGGACTATACAATAAGACCCTACCCCAAAATAAAAAGAACAATGCACTGGGTTGTTCTTTTTTTTTGGGACAGGGTCTCACTTTGTAGTTGAGACTGACCTGGAACTCGCAGTGATCCTCCTGCCTCAGTCTCCCAAGTTCTGGGATTACAGGCGTGTGCCACCATGCGCAGTTGCACTGTACATTTTAAGAGGGTAAAATGTACATGTGAATTATGAAATGTTATTAAAAAAAGATAATGCCAAACAACAAATATAAAAGTTCTATGCTGGTGTGGTGATATATGCCTATAGTTTCACCAACTTGGGAGGGTGAGGAGGATTGGATCACTTGAGCCCCTGAGTTTAAGACTAGTGTGGGTAACACAACAAGAATAAATCTCCAAAGAGAGGGAGAAGCACAATGTGGTGCTGCACTACTGTGAGGCCAACACACTGGGAAGATCATAATTCCAAGCCCAGCCTGGGCAGCTTAACAACTCAGTGAGACAGTGTCTCAAAAAAAAAAAAGGACTGGGGATGTAGCTGAGTTTAATCCCCAGGATTAAAGAATAAAATTCTAATAGGGTTGAGGATGTATTTTAGTGGTAGACTGCTTGTCTAATATGTGCAAAGCCCTTTGTTCAACCCCCAGCACCACAAAAAAAAAGTAATTCTTCTATATTAACTTGTTAGAGTTTAATGAATTTGGAAATGTTCACATGAATGTATACTCATACCACAAATAAACTGCTGAGTCTTCAACATGCAGGAAAAAGATACCTCAATTCAAATGTGAATTTAAAATTTTCCTTTATTAAGACAAACAAAATCTGTTAAATAAAAATATGCAAATTCAAGGCCAAATTCAATCATCTATCTACCAGTATCTGCATCCAAAAGGCACCAAGATGGCTCTCGGAACAGCCATGCACAGCAGTGCACTTCCACCTCACCTTCATGCACAGCTCTGCCTTGTCAAAGCCCATCAGCATGTTGATGATGTCAAACCCAGAAGTAGACTTATTCTTTTGATGGACTCCTCGAATAAGTGCACACAAGGTCTGCAGAGGTAAGAAAAAGAATTCTTAGCTAGCAAGGTGGCACATGCCTGTAATCCCAGCACTCCTGAGGAGGAGGAGGAGGACTGCAAGGAGTTCCATGCCAACCTGAACTATGTAGCAAGATCCCGATTCAAAACATCTAAACGAACAAACAAACACAAAATACTTCTTGATGGGATTGGTAGAGCTTTTATTTAAAATTAGCATGGAAGGGCCAGGGATTTAGCTAGGTGGTTCCACCACCTGCTTCACAAGTGCAAGGCCTCGAGTTTGATCCCCAGTACCAAAAAAAATAATAAAAATAAATTAGCATGGTGGCATACACTTGTAATCACAGAACTCTTGGGAGCCCAACCTAAGCAACTCAGTTGAGAGCCTGTCTCAAAAATCAAATATTTTTTTAAAAGGGGACATACATAGCTCAGTACAAAGGCCCCGAGAGCCATTCAATCCTCAGTGCCACAAGTAATAATAACAATTAATTTTCACATTTACACTGTAGTTTAACCATCTTAGTAATTATTTTTTAGTAATTATAACATGTAAGTCCCTAGATGATGATAACCAATTGCTTCAAATCTTAACCAGCTATTTCCCATCCCCATATACTACTTACTAGCTTTGAGAGCCTGAACACATTGACTTTCTCGTCTATAATACAGGAATGATAGTAATAGCATCCACTTTATAGAGATGTTATGAAAATACATGAATATCCTGAAGTACTTAGAACAGTCCCCATAACTTTATTAAAGTGCAACAACTATTAGCTATCATAATAATGTGCTGTTTAGGGGTCATCAAGTAACTTAAGATCAACTTACTTCCACCGAAATAAAATAGTATAGTATAGTATTCCTACTCTACAACTCAAAATACGGAATACATTGTGCCAAAGGTTAACAAAGCTATAGGGGCATCAACCCAACAGGTAATAATTATGCTGGACATTGTGATGCAGGCCTGTAATCCCAGCACCCTGGTAGGCTGAGGCAGCAGGAGGACCTCAAGCCCAGCCTGCGCAATTTAGCAAAATCCTGTCTCAAAGTAAACAATAAAAAAGGACTAGAAATGTAGCTTAGAACAAAGGCCCTGAGTTCAATCCCCAGCACACGCGCGCGCGCACACACACACACACACACACACACACACAAAAGATGAGAAATGAGAAATCTGTGCCAGGCACAGTGGCACATGCAGTGTAAGGTATCAAACCTAGGGCCTCACATATGCCTGGCCAAGTGCTCCACCACCGAGCTACATCCTCAGAACAAATAGTACTAGAAAGAAATACGAATAGACAAGATTACCACTATAAACATTAATTTGTTTTAAAAGGAAGATGGCTAAGCAAACATGACAAAAAAAAACTGATTAAAGAAAATTTTAAAAAGAAAGCCTCATACCTAAGGGCAAATCTATGTTCCTCAGATTCCAAAAGATGGGTTACAATTCCTTTTGTCCTGTTAACAAGACTTCCCCAGTCTCCCAGCCTTATACCTGCAATGCATTCACAACTCGAATTGGATGCTCCTCTCTCAGAGCCTGAATGCAGTGTTGAAATAAGCAATTAATATTGTCCTTGATCTTCATTAACTCCTCACCATCAAGAGATTCCAGCTTGCCTTCTAGGTACTCTAAATTCACCTGCCAATGAGACAATAGGGATCTGAGCACATTTTTAGTGTAGCATCTGAAACACAGCCTACACCTGACAATATTGTTACCAGGAAAACCCACAGGTACCACCAAGTCTTACCTTCATGAGGAAGAGCTCTTCCCAAAACCGAGGACTGCACTTACTGGGGTCTTCTGTCTGAAATCAGAAAATAACCATGTTGAACAATAAGAATATCATATACTGGGCCAGGGATGTAGCTCAGCAGCACAGTGCCTGCCTGGCAAGCACAAGGTTAAGTTTGATCCCAAGTACCCCCCTAAAAAAAATACTACATATAGTCAACTTTACCTTTCAAAATTAACTTTGAAAATGTTTGGTCATCTTAAACCATTGTAATGGAAAAGCGAACAATCTAGGGGGAAGGGGTTGTTCTTTAATGGAAGACATTGTGCATGGATATATATTTTTTTCCAGCATCAAAAGTTAAATAATGTGGCCAGGCATGGTGGCACACATCTGTAATCCCAGCACTTAGGAGGCTGGGGCAGGAGGATTGCCCCAAGTTTAAGCCAGACTGGATTACATAATGAATTTAAGGCCAGCACAAACTATATCGCAACCCTGTCTCAAAAAAGATATTCAGAAAAGACACTTCCTCAGATGTCCTCCCTCCTTTCAGCTGCTTCACCTAGTTCATGACCTCAACTGTAAAAACATCCTAACAGTCTATATTAATACAGGATCATCACCCTATTATGAGAGTTCACTATTGTCCCTGATCTTGCTTCCTCCTTCCCTCCCTCTCTTTGTCCTCCCCATTTTCCCTGTACAAACTCAAAGGAAGGAAGCAGACTTTTTGGACTAAGCAACCATGCAGTGTGAATGGGTTCCAAGCCTTACCATAAAGATTTCATCATACATCAGCACTACTTTTTCCTTTAGTGGTTTTTTGGAGGCTGAAGATTTCCGGAGCAAACCTCCCCGTTTTTCTACCTGGGCCATGGTTAGACAATCTGTGAAAAAATGGTCACATTTTAGGGCAATGAAAAGAAACTACAGAGCAGACACTGGTGGAAACAAGTCATTATTCATTCATCCAAACTCACGAATACACAACACCAAGACTGCAACCTAATGGAAATGTATCAGGCAGCATTAATGTGTAAGGAAACATAGGTTCATTGATCATAACACCACCACAGTGGAGGGTGGTGGTGGTGCAGGCTGACTGCAGGTGTGTAGAGGAAGGGCACTAGCAAACCTCACTGTACCTTCCTCTCACTTTTGCTGAGAACCTAAAATGGCTCTTAATAATATGAATTTTTTTTTTTTTTTTAAAGAAAGTCAGCCAGTACCAGGATGCTGAAGAGTCTAACTGAACTATTTCTCGCTGGGAAAAAAAAAAAGATAAACCACCATGCTATAGATCTTGTGCATCTGTCCAATACGTACTCTTTGGACCACATAATGTCAAGGTTTAAATCATGACTTGGCCCACAGCACAACACATTTTATGTCCCTAAAGTGTGCCAGCGGACAAGGCTTAAAGCAGATCCAAAGCAAACAGAGAAGTGTAACTAGCTCCATCTATAACAGGGCTAGCCATATGTCTGAGGTTGATAGAAGGAGGCTGCAAAGCACACTCTGCCCAGGACTGGTGGTGAAGTTAAATTTAAGTATTGATCGAGCACAGGACCATTAAGGCAGGAAGTATGCTGCAGACTGATGTGCTTATCGATTTCCACAAAGTAAGTGGGTCCTCATCACCACAAAGTACTTGGCCTTCAAAGCCTCATAAATCACACTACACTTGACTGTCTTTAAAAATTCCTCCAGCATGAGACCCAAGGCAGAAAATGGCAGCGAAGAAGCCAAAAATTAAATCTGATTTCAAAATAACTGAATACTACACTACTTTCAAGTTTAATCCTATATATTTGCAACCCTACTTCAGATCAAACTTCAGTATACCTTTCAATTCTATGTAACAGCAGTTCCAGGCAGGGGATTTAACTCAGTGGGGCCGCATCTGCCTTGCAAGTGCAAGGTTCTCAGTTGGATCCCCAGGACCAGTGGGGGATGGGAGCAGTTCCATGAATCAAGCCCAGATTTTCCAACCTTGCTTCTAAGAACACCCTACCACGTGAGGACTGGAAATCTCAGAGGTATCCACTATGGATTTACACGTTCCCTCACCTCCCAGATGCCCGCACTTACTAACAAAGCTCTCTCTGAAATCCTAAACTCTAGATGTGAAATGTAAGCTCATTCACTGCAAACAGTGGAACTAAGGAGGACCCAGATTTTACCTCCACACAAATCTAAAGCAGCAGAACTAATTTTGTTCATGATTTCTGGAAAATACTACCTTTCAAAGCAAAATCAAACTTTTAAGGAAAAGATAATCCAAAGTATAAAAGTTTCTATCTTAGTCACCTTTGAGCACACAACAAACAAAATTTTCCCTGACTGGATACTTTTTTTTTTTTTTGAGACAGGGTCTTACTTTGTAGTTCAGGCTGGCCTTGAACTCACCATGTAGCCCTGTGTTCTAGAATTACAAGCATACAACACCACACCCAACATACTGTTTTTAATATAAGTACCTGGCTCATGGTAAGTGCTCAGCAGAGATCGTTCACTGCCAATTTTGAAGTAAACTGGGGAAAAATCCCCAAAAGAGAGCCAGTCATGGTGGAACACACCTATAACACCAGCCCTCAGGAGGCTGAGGCAGGAGGATCACTATGTGTTCAAGGCCAGCCTGAGCCACATAGCAAGATTCTGTCATAGGCCCTAAGCCTGACCTAAAATTGTAGTAAGGCCTATCTCTACTGAGTTTTCACTAAGCCTTCAAATTCTATTATGGGGCTGCAGATTTAGCTCAGTAGCAGAGCACCTGCGTGACAAGCATGAAGTCCTCAGTTCAATCCCCAGTACCAAAAAACAAACAAACAAATTATATTATGGCATAGAGAAAAGTGAAGAAAAAAGGACAGGAAAAAAAAGAGAAAGAAAGACGACTCTTTCAATTTATATCATACACTATAGATCATGCCTTTCCTTTGCCTTAGCCTCCATTCAGAACATTCCTGTGTCCTTGAAATGGGTTGTCAAGAGAAAGATGTTCTTACCCAAAGAAAATAAACTGGAAACCAAGGGGATCCTATTAACATAAATCCAAAGCAAGGCAATTCTCAGCTCAGCGGCTATAGATCCTGCACGTGCTCTGCTTCAGCCAGCTGATGAGCAGGCACAGCAAGACCACAGCTCCTGGGTGTGAAGAGCACATGTTTACAAACATCTTCCTCTGAGGATTTATAATTGGGTTACAGCTAATCAATGCCCAACCCAAATCTAATAAACTCTATTTCACAATCAATACTTTCTAATAAGCAAACCGCAATAGGAGAGGAGGGAAAAACAATTCCAGTCCAAACTACCAAATTTCCTAAGAAATTCAATTCTTTTCATCACTCTCCTTCTATTTGGAGCAGGGGGAAATTCAGCCACCAGCCTCAACTCATTACTCTCTGTCATCATCACGGGCAGCTGGAATTTACCACCTCCAGTGCTCGCACATGCGCCAGGGAGCCACAGCATGGCCTCCCCTCCCACCACTGCGACAGAACAGCAGACTGTGAAAGTTTTCCACTGTGTCCCAGAATTTAAGCCTGTTCTCCTAAATTTCATAACAAAATATCCTATTGGTAGGGCAGGAAATTGCAGCACAAGGGTAATGTGAAGGGAATCTGTTTCCATCCTCCCAGTGCTTTCTTCTTTCAATCCTTCCCCACACCAACTGAAAAAGGAACTGCAAGGCACACAGAGCAACCAAAGACAGAATGGGAGCAAGAGCAAAAACTCCCATTCGGCCAGGCCAGGCGGACTGAGTCACTGTGCTCCTCAATTTTCTCACAATTAAAAGCAGAATGGTAAACCAGGCACGGTGGCGCATGCCTGTAATCCCAGCACTTGGAAGGCTGAGGCAGGAGGACTGCTGTGAGTTCAAGACCAGCCTGGGCTACATAGTGAATTCCAGTCAGTCTCAACTACATAATAAGACCCTGTCTCAAAAAAGACAAAAAAAAAAGGGCCAGGGATTTAGCTTAGTGGTTCCAGTGCCTGCCTTGCAAGCGCAAGGACCCAAGTTCAATCCCCAGTACCAAAAAAAAGAAAAAAGCGCAGTGGAGCCAGGCACAGGGGCACACATCTGTATCCCAGCTCTGAGAAGCTGAGGCAGAAGGATCACAAATTCAAGGACAGCCAATTTAGCAAGACCCAATCTCAAAATAAAAAAGGGCTGGGGATGTAGCTCAGTATGAAGCCTCTGGGTTCAATCCTCTGTAGTAGAAAGAAAAGAGAGAGGGGGGAGAAGGAAGGGCAGGAAGGGAAAGAGAAAGAAGCCAGGTGTGGTGGTGCTCATCTGTAATCCCAGTACTCGGGAGGCTGAGGCAGAGGATCACCAGTTCAAAGCCAGACTGGCCTACACAGCAAGACCTTGTTTCAAAACAACTAATCCTGAATGTGACGGTACATGCCTGTAATCCCAGCATTTGGGAGGCTGAGGCTAGACTGAACTACATACTGAGATCCTGCTCAAAAACAAACAAACAGAAAAGGTGGGTGAATAGAGGTGCAAAGAAAATGATCTGGAACCACAGGAGAGGGTAAAAAGCATTCTATGGCTCTTACCCCGCTTTATCCTGGGTTTTAAACCCTTCTGCAAAAAGCAAAACAGAAGCACAGAAATGCACATAAACCTCACCTAAGGCTCTAACAGATTCTCAAAAATAAGACAAAGTACAAAAGAAAATCAGGCAGCTGGGGATTTAGCTCAGTGGCACCAAGCCTGCCCTGCAAGCACAAGGTCCTGAGTTCAATCCCAGGTACCAAAAAAAGAAAAAAGAAAAAAGAAAGAAACAAAGAAAACCAGGTGAACTTCAGTACTAATTTCACCAACTATCAAACTTAGGAATAGGATCTCAGTGGGAAAGTGCTAGCCTAGCATGCGCAAAATTCCATCAATTGGGGGAAAAGAAAAAGCAAAATATATCAAGTACAGGCACAAATTCGCTATGATGAATGTGATCATTTTGTATATGTACAGTATACCAATAAAATCTATTTTAAAAATCCCCTCAACTAAATGGTGAATCAATGAAACCCCCCTCCCACCTCATACTGGGGATAGGCAGTACAATGCAAGAGCCCTCTACATCCTCAACCCTTCTTTCTTTCCTAAAACAGGCTCTCCCCAAGGTGCTAACATAAATTACTCAGGCTAGGCTCCAACTTGCAAACCTGCCACAGCCTCCCAAGAACATGAGGTATTAGTATTTTTCTTTTTTTAAGTTTTAAATATACATAATGATCACATTCGCCATATGGAATTTGAATCTTTTTTTTCCCATTCCCCTCCCTTCCCAATTACTCCTCCCCTCCTTTATTTACAAAAGCTTTCTTTCCTCTTTTCCATTTTTCTTGTTCCTTCCTTTCCTCCTTGCCCCTCCTTTGTTCCCCTTCTCATTTGAACATTTTCTTCCCACTTCCCAAAATCTATTATACATTTTAATCCTTATTTCCACTTTTGGTTTCTCATACAGAGAAACAATGGGCCAGGGATTTAGCTCAGTGCCACCACCTGCCTCCCAAGCACAAAGTCCTGAGTTTTATTCCTAGTACCTAAAAAAAAAAAAAACTGGATAGACATGTCAGAGAAACAATGCGGTATTTAAACATGTGTGTCTGATTTATACCACTTAAGAGTATGGTCTCAGGGTGCACCCATTTAGCTAGAAATGTCTCATGTTTATCCTTCTCTATGGCAGAGTAGTACACCGTTATATTTTTTAAAAACACACACATATTCTTTATCCATTTACTGATTGATGGACACGTGGGCTGTTTCCAAGCTTTAGCTATTACAAACTGTGCTGCTATAAATGCAAGTGTGCATGTATCACTGTGGTATGTTTTTAATTCCTTTGGGAAGATATCAGGAAGGG